CGATTCACTAAGTACTCCCTAACTGAACCCGGTTCCCTGACAATTGTCGCTCCGCTGACAATATGGGCAGACAAGAAATGGAAGCGTCTTGCCAATACAGTCTCGCGCATTTTTTTATCGTACAACAACCTTAAATAAAAACATATAAACATTAGACTATTTTCATTGAAATGTGTAAATAAATTGTTCAACTAATTAAATGATATATTTATCGGAATACCGGATGTATGCGTGAACATTGCCGATGCCTAATTCACCATGCGTCATAATCTCAGTCATTTCGTCCAATCCTATCGTTTCTTGGCAGTCAAGACCAAAGATATCTGCATCCATAAGGATTGTACGAATACCACCTGACTTCAAATCTGAGGTTTCCAAAAGTACTCCAAGTGTATTCCGATATCGAGGTACAAAAACGCCTCTTCCCCCGCCTCTTCCCCCCTTATGCATTGACTTTTTCGGGGGTGGTCTGCTACGAACAGGCTGGGTCACTTGTTGTGACACTTTCGCAGATACCTAACAATCATATAACTTAGGTAAATTATAAAATCGTTCAGTTTTAAATTCATATCATATAATAAACAATTTAAGTGTACCTCTGGAATTGATGCCATAGACTCGCCGCCTTGCTGCAAAATCTCCTTACCCTTATTAGCGGGTTTTGTAGGAGGCTAATATTAAAAAATAATTAACTTAACGGTTCAGAATTGACATTTGAAATCTAAATGATTCATATTAACGGTTTTAAACTTACCTCATCATCAATGAAAATGAGGTCCAAGGGCCATGCAACAAACGACCCTACCGCGTCTCGCACCGATCTTATATCCAAGGCCACGTCAGGTACCGGTACCAACGCATCGGGATCAATAGGATAATCTACTGATACTCTCAGGTGTCCAGCCGGGATCGGTGTATTATGAATTAAATCTCCCAAAGTGTTGTACACTTTTCCCTTGCCAACAAGGTGATAATCTGATGCCATTACGTATAGTTGGCAAGATGAAATGCCCTAAACCAATATGCATACATATTACTTTTAATTCAATAATAGAAAGAGGTGGAATAAAAATGAGAAACTTGAACAATAGAGATTTATCAATATATTTATAATTACCTCAGGAAATTTATTCTGACGGTTGATACTAGCGTTGTCACTAGTTTCTTTCGCCATTGCCGCATTGCCCTTTTCCCTCATTAATACCTCTTTATCTCTTTCCAATGCATTGACTTTTGCTTGTAATTCCATAAGTACATTCATCACTTCTGCATTGGTAGGATTTCTTTTCCGATGATGCTGGTAGAAAGAGGTTGGAGTCACACCGTGACCTTTACCCCTAACCCGACCGGAATACTCAGGAACATTCAGTGCTTTACTAAGTACGCTCCTCGTATCCTGGTCGTCACCGGTGGACTCCGTTTGTGACAATGTCTCCTGAAAATAATGGAGATAAAAAAATCAATTAAATAGTCATAAAAATTTGATTTAATTAAAGACACAATGTTATACTTACGCATTCATCATAAATTCTTAGAACACTTGGATCAACAGCTTGATTCTTGCCCACACGGGCTTCCTTCCACAGCAAATGTGCTGGAAGTGAGGTTTCATCACTTTTCGTCTCCTCTAACTATGCATAGAAACAAACGGTTAGATCGTCAAATACAACACATTTAGACAATTAATAAGAACATATCATTTCTATTTATTACTTACAATTTTTTCCTCTAAGCGCGCATATCCCAAACGCCCTTTTTTGTATGGGTACGCGGGCTTTGATGCTCTCTCACTATTTTTGGCACTCTTTTGCCGGAATTCGTCATCTCTTTGTCTAATAAACTCAGTCCAATCTTCTTGTTTAATGAAAAGATTATACTTTTCTGGCCTTCCGGCCGGGAACTCTTCCAGCCACTTTCCTTTGTCATCCTTAAGATAGGTGTTCGTCAACAGATTTTTCCACCCTCTAAATCTTTTCCCGGCCAACCCAAGTATGAAGCCTTTACGCTCATCTGGAACGTTAAAAGACCGCTGCGTATAAACCATATAAACATATAAGTAATTTAAAAACCATATAAACCATATAAACATATAAGTAGTTTAAAAACCATATACACCATATAAACTTATAAACTTATAAACATATAACCATATAAACCATATAACATACATACCTTAACATCTTCCCAAAACATTTCTTTTCCTTGCTTCAATGCTTCACATTGTTTCACATTCCATCTAGATATGGAGATTGGCACATGCATACGAACAAGTGTACCAACGTAGCTTGTGAATTTTGAAGCATTAACCCCAACTAATTGATTTGAATGATTCCAATCTACATTATATTTCACTCCCTTATCTCTAGCACGAATGATTTCGCGCATTATGGTGATGCCTCGTGCAACATCATTTGCTGAAGTATCATCCGCTGCATGATTTGTTTCTTGTGAGTTTTCATGATCTTGTTGGTTTCCTGGTGGATTTTCTTGTTGGTTTCCTTGCGGGTTTTCTTCATTGCTAGCCATTAGACCTGTAACAAAAGTCAAACAAGCACATTAGTACACTACATGAAAATGGATAGTCGAAAAAGATATGAATAGCACTAAAGGAACTCAAAATTGAATAAAATGCTAAAAAACCAAACTTGCAAGAAATAAACCTCACCATCAGCTCCGGAAACATTGTTCTACTAATTAAGCACAAGCACATTCGCAAAAATTCAAAACGGTTCAAAAGATATGCCAAAAATTCAAAACATTATTCACATATTACTTACAATATTAGGCTATAATTATAATAATACCTTTTTCACTAACGTCTCTTTCTTTTCTTGGTAGCAATATATTTTACGCTTCTATTAACAACTCGGATGGTTGGATTGATCCAAATACCCTCATTATGATCATCTCTAGTACAAGGTTCATTCTCATTTTGATCGTTTCTTGTACAAGATTCAATGCCAACGCCAATATCACCTTGATCTCCAATGTTTTCATCAATTACTTTGTTAGACAAAAGCACTATAGACCATTTCGTACTTGTCGGATCATTGACATAGAACACTTGTTTAGCCTGAGAGGCTAGAATAAAAGGTTCATCTTTGTACCCCACCCTATTGAGATCCACTTGCAAAAATCCTGACTTATCCATTCGTACGCCATTATTATTTTCAACCCACTTGCAATCAAATACAGGAATCTGAAACTTCCCGTAATCAAACAACAAAATGCGCTCGATAACCCCAAAATATGACAGATTTGCAAATATCGGGTTTAAGTCATTCGCACTTGATATGTGCATCGCTTCAGCTACCAAGGTAACACCACTATTCTGCATAGTACTTTTATCATCCTGTTCTTTGGTATAAAATGTGTATCCATTAATTGCGTATGCGCTATAAGAAAACACAATCATACTTGGACCATATGCTAAACATCTCAACCTTTCTGTTACTGAAGCAGGATCCGAACGATACTTTGAATAAATTTGTTCCTTAAACCACGGTATGAAACTTCGATTGTGCTCTCGTACTATCCAATTCTCATTTCTATTCAGATTTAAACCTCGAAGAACACCCTTGTGCATTTCAGCATACGGCTCAACCTCAATCTCATTGTGCAGAACATACAAATGCACCTGATCCCGTTCGACCATTGACACTGTCACAACTTTATTTCCAATTAGTCTTTTTCCTTCTTTTTTCTCGACAATATGAGATTTGGGGAGTCCAATTGATTGAACATTTGACAGATATTCAGTGCAAAACTCAACCGCTTCTTCAACAATGTATCGTTCCGCAATACAACCCTCCGGTCGACTTCGGTTTTTCACGTACCCTTTTAAAATTTTCATATAACGTTCAGCAGGGTACATCCATCTCATATAAGCTGGTCCGCACAACTGTGTCTCTTTGACAAGATGAACGACTAGATGAACCATTATGTCAAAAAACGAGGGAGGAAAATACATTTCAAGCTCACATAAAGTAACAACCACCTCTTTTTGCAATGTTGGTAAGATCGCAGGATCGATCACCTTGCTGCATATTGACTTGAAGAAAAAACACAACTTAGTTATTGCGCTCCTTACTTTTTCTGGCAGAATAGAACGTATACCTATTGGTAGAAAATGTTCCATTATAACATGGCAATCATGAGTCTTTAAACTCTTTAACTTTAGGTCTTTCATTGACACAAGTCTTCTAATATCTGATGAGTAGCCTTCTGGAACTTTAACTTCACTGAGGAACTTACACAATATTTTCTTCTCCTTTCTAGATAGAGTGTAAACAGCAGGTGGTAGATATGTGCGTCTTCCTTTCGTCACGGGTGCCAATTCAGTTCTAATTCCCATGTTTAACATGTCCTTCCTTATGTTAATGCCATCCTTAGACTTTCCTTGTATATTGAGTAACGTACCAATGACACTATCAAATACATTTTTTTCAATATGCATAACATCGAGGAAATGTCTTACGTACAACGACTTCCAATATGGAAGTTCAAAAAAAATCGACCTCTTCTTCCACCCACTCGTGACAAGTCTATGTGCAAAAGGCTTGCCAAACTCAGTACTCACATCTTTCACCTTTTCAAAAATCTGATCACCTGTCAACATATGTGGAGCTCTACCGTGTTCTGCCTCTCCATTGAATGCCTTTCTCCACCCACGATAGTGATGATTAGAATTTAAGAATCTACGATGACCGAGAAAAACATTCTTCTGACAAAAGTTCAATCGCATCGTATCGGTTTCATCTTCACAAACAGGACACGCTTTTTGACCCTTAATGCTGTACCCTGATAGATTTCCGTACGCCGGAAAATCATTAATTGTTCCAAACAACATCGCCCTCAAGTTGAAACTTTCTTTCCTATACCCATCGTAAACCTCCACACCGGTCTCCCACAAAAACTTCAAATCTTCGACTAAGGGTGCCAAGTACACGTCTATGTCATTCCCTGGTTGTTTGGGCCCAGAAATTAACATAGATAGCATCATGTACTTACGCTTCATACATAGCCACGGAGGTAGGTTATATATCATAAGAATCACAGGCCAGGTGCTATGCGAGATACTTTGAATACCATGCGGGTTCATTCCATCAGTAGACAACGACAAGCGAAGATTTCTTGCTTCTTTTCCAAATTCAGGATAATCAATATCAACTTTCGTCCACTGTGGTGAGTCTGCCGGATGTCGCAACTTCCCATCAATAATTCTTTCATCTGCATGCCAAGTCAAGTGTCTTGAATCGGTCTCACTACGATACATGCGCCTAAATCTCGGAATTATAGGAAAATACCATAACACCTTTTCCGGAGACAACTTTTCCTTATATCGAGGGGCACCGCATTTAGGACACTCATTTAACACTGCGTACTCGTTTCGAAATAAAACGCAATCTTTTGGACATGCATGTATCTTTTCATAGCTCATGCCAATAGAGGACAACATCTTTTTGGCCTCATACGTTCGATTGGGAAGAACATTATCCTCTGGTAGCATTTCTTTCACGAGGGCTAATAACTGTGTGAAACTTTTATCCGACCATCCGTTCTCCGCCTTTAAGTTGTACAACTTTAACACCGCAGACAATCTTGTGAATTTTGTACAACCATCATACAACGGTTTCTCTGCATCGCTTACCAACCTCTCGAACATTTTGGGACAATCCTCAAGATCTTCTTCAAGCGCTTCTGCAATCTCTTCGACTCGATCATAATCGTATGCGTCTGCGAAATCCTCATTTGAAGCATACGTCGTATTATAACTCGATTCAACATTCCCGCTACTTTTCTCACCATGCAAATTCCAACATGCATAACTTCTATCAATTCCATGCATCAGTAAATGCGATTCCAACTGAACCGCGTCAACCCGTCTCCCATAACAGCATCTCAAGCAAGGACATATCATTCCATTGGGTTCTCTGGCGTGCGCAACGGCAAACTTAACGAATTCTGATACCCCATCCTCATACTCTTTCGACAATCGATTGGCAGTCATCCATTTTTTATCCATGGTTTGACTATAGCAACTAATTAGTCACGCAACTATAGCAAAATAATAATTAATTACCTGTAAAGAAATTCAACATATCAGGTAATCAAATTCATAGTTATTCTTGCCTCACCTTAAGCATGTGCTAAACAACTCATCACTAATTACTAACTAGTGAAGTCGGATACTAGTGATTCAGTCTTGGATACATGTAATAACAATTATATTCAAACAATAGTGAAGTCGGATTTCAAACAATTATATTCAGTCCTTATCTTACAAGTTAGCTTTGTCAAGTCTTAGTTAGGTTCAAATCAAATTTTAAAAGCAATGTATTGTTAATTGTTAATTGTCAAGTCTTGGATAACATTGCAACTAAGGATAAGCTGAACACTACTGCAGGCTCTTATGCACTTCTTGGCTCAGTGGTGCCAAGAGATGCAGGTGTGGTTACCAAGTTAAGGAAAGCTGGGGCTATCATATTAGGGAAAGCCACATTGAGTGAGTGGTCACATTACAGGTCTGCTGCTGCTCCTAGTGGTTGGAGTGCCCGAGGTGGACAAGGAAAGGTATATAATTTACTACTTCTTTGTTTATTGTATCAAGAGGATTTCACAAATGTGCTTTGTGTTGTGCAGAATCCATATACATTGGGTTTTCCCTGTGGTTCAAGTAGTGGATCAGCTATATCTGTGGCGGCAAATTTGGTGACTGTATCACTTGGTACCAAAACCGATGGATCCATTTTATGTCCTTCAAATTTTAACTCAGTAGTAGGCATTAAACCCACAGTTGGTCTCACTAGTAGAGCAGGTGTAGTTCCAATTAGTCCAAGGCAGGACACTATTGGGTAAGCCTATTTACCTTTGTCTGCATTTCTATTGTGTTTAGCGTCTCTATTTTGTTGTCCTATTTATTATATACCCTTGCACTAAATGTGTGACATCAATTATGTCGTTCCATATAGGCCAATTTGCAGGACAGTATCAGATGCTGCTTATGTTCTTGAAACCATAGCTGGCATTGATACTGTTGATAAAGCAACAATTGAAGCATCAAAGTATATCCCAAAAGGTGGCTATGCTCAATTTCTTAAGAAAGATGGACTACGAGGGAAGAGATTAGGAGTAGTGAGACTATTCTACAATTTCGGAAATGACACTTTTATGCATGAAACTTTCAAGTTACGCCTAAAAACATTAAGGTGATTAACTTCTAAAACTATTAGTCTTAAAGTACTAATACTGCTCATGAAACTGTAATAACTCTTATATGCATATATATTTAAAACCTGTGCAACACGCGGGTAGATAACTCTTGGTTGCAAGTTATTTTGAATTTGAATTCGTTGTCTATTATTTTCTTTGGCCACAATCCTTCTGAAGAAATCATGTGCTTTGAATCTTTGTGTTCATAATTAATAGGAAGAGTAGGTATATCAAACACAAGTTGAACTGTCCATGCATCAGACCTATTTAACTATGTTAGAATTTGAAGATTGATAACATTGATGACATTATCAGGCAAAGAGGTGCAGTTTTGGTCGACAATTTGAAGATTGATGACATTGATGACATTATCGTTGCTCAAAGTGAAATTATCGCTTTGAATTTTGAATTCAAATTGTCTTTGAATGCATACCTGAAAGACTTAATTGCTTCACCAGTGAAAAGCTTGGCAGGTGTGATACACTTCAACAAGAAACAGTCAAAATTGGTGAGTATGTATGTGGTTTTGTTTATTTTTCTTGTGGACAATTGGATATTAATCAATATTTATAACAGTATCATCTTATGGTTTTTGTATCAACATTTAACATAAGCTACAAAGCTACAAAGCTTGTTAAGTGTTAATGTTGTTATTTTCGATCTGTATTAATGCATAAATTGTGACTAATTTTGTTTGTTCAGTTCACTTTTGGGCACCTACGTTTAAGTGGGGCATCAGCATTGCCAATATTGCTGATTTTTCAAAACCACCTGACATGATCTCTTATCCTCAACAAATAGGTATGTGCATGCATATATATAACTATATGTAGTGTCATCTTTTGCGAACTTCTAATACGCCCTTTTGCTCATCATTCACCCTTGTGAAAATGTGTATTTCTGAATTCTCTGAAAGGAGCAGACATATGCAAGTGAATGAATTTTGTGGAATGCTGAGTATTCAAATTGCAGGCAGTTTTTAGCAAATATTCTGCTGATTCCTTTTATTTTTAACACAGCTGTTATGGCTACTGGACTAATCTGGGCGAATTACAGCACTGTAATCACTCCAGTAAGTTACATTTTTTTTCAAACACAGTTTGCTTTTAACTAGTACATGAAATGTTGAAAGCTTAATGAATGAGGATTATTTGTGGACCTTCAGTGCAAGCAAAATTTTATAGTTTCACTTCACTATCTTCATAATTTTGGTTTATAGTTTCACTTCATTATCTACATTATTTTGGTTTATAGTTACATTATCTCTCTTAAAAGAGTATGACACTCTCAACTTGTAAGATTCTGTAACATCAATTAGACTGTAACATCCTTCGCGTGATGTTTTAGTTTATAATGGCTGGAGAAAATAGGAGTAGGAACATTGACAACAACTATGCCTATATTTGGTATTAGTCTAAAACCACGGTTGCGCGGTACGATTTGACAGAAGCTAACATGTATTGCTTCAAGGACATATTTATAAAGGCTTGGTTGCGCTAATTTTGAAACATGAATGTGATTCAAACAACATTTAGAGCAAAGTTCAAACAAGCATTGATTTCAAACATGCATGTGATTCAAACAACATTTTGAAGCTAAATTAAAACATACCTTGCAAGATGAAAAGAAAAGATGATGATTCAAACTGGAGGTTCCGATTCCAATATCGGGTTTTCGATCACCAAAGTATTCTTTAAGAGCTTTATTCTTCACAACCAAGCCAGAAGAAGTAAGACAACCAGTGAAGTAGCCACCAATAGCATGCAACTCAGTCCCTATAACATCACCGACACATAGTAATACATTATATTTTCATGCTTCCCTTTAGGCTAACATAATGCTTGCAGTATGAATCTCTTATACAAAGATGATGGCACTCAGATTCACACACATGTAGATATAGAAAAGGAAATTTTGGAGTTTTATGGAGGATTAATGGGTACTAAAGAAGAGAGCCTGAACCACATTGATATTACTGATATGAGGAGGGGTCTCAGCTTACTATGGAGCAGAGGACTATGCTCACTACACATGTGAATGAGCATGAGACTAAAACTGCCCTTAAAGATATAGGTGATTCCTACCGTGAACCATTAACTTTCACTAGCATCATTAATGGTTTTACTAACACAATCTTTTAGCAGTTTTTAACAACATAATCTAACCTCCGTTAACTTTCCCTAGCATCATTAATGGTTTTACTAACACAATCTTTTAGCAGTTTTTAACAACATAATCTAACCTCATTGGCATATTAATTCACTAACTATTCTAACATTCAATTTAACCACTTAACCATTATTCGACTAAAATCCAAGTTACATCTAATTCAGCCTCCCTATGTATTCACTCAAGCCAAATGCAAGTTCAGTAGAACTTATGAAGAAAATCAAAGGGAAAGGGAGGAAAGTGTGAAACCCGAACCTGCTCGTAATGAGACCTGTAGTGCATCATCCACACACCAGCATCATGTGCTTCATGTTACGACCACTATAGACCTTTACATTCATACCAAAAAGCCAAGTCAATACAAGCAATCATGCCAAAGTAGCCTATGTTCACACAAGTTACTCAATACATGAAAAAACATTAACAAGTTACAAAGTTCTGGCCAGAGATTTTTTCCAAACTTTAACTACACATATGATTCATGCCTTGGTTCCACCCTATTTGGTCTTGTGCTTTGAACCTCTTACACCCTTTGTCACACTTCCACAAAACCTGCTCGCCACTATCTTGTCAACGATCCTCACGTTAAACCTTGTTTACAACTTGTAGCCTACTAACAAAACCAGACCCACAAAATACCTGTATCATAACCAAAACCAATCCAATACCATTGCGTCAGTAAAACAATCAGCTCAATATAGTTCAATAAAACAAAAAAATCAAAACCTAATTCCCAAATTGCCAACATTTCACTTCTAACCGACTGTCAGTTTCATTAACCCCTAGCTAACCTCCATATAACATTAAATCATAACCCATCTAACCTTCAGTTTCTAATCCTGATGACATCTAACATTTCATAAGCAAGAGAAAAGCTCTGAAAACGGAAGGATGGGCGGAGGAATCTTGTCGCATAAGAGAAATATTATAAAAAAATGTTGTTGTCTTTGATTATTGATGGATTTAGTGTTGTTAATGGTGCTGGAAAGTATATGTGAGTGAATGTGATATGCGGGAGAAGAAGAGCTTGTACTGTGCGTTTGAAGAAGAGAAAAGAATGAAATGTTATTTTGATGTTTTAATTTATTAAATTAAAAATAATATAAGCTATAACAGCGCTTTTGAAAGCGCTTTCATAGGGGGGCTTTTACCAGCGCTTTTTAGGGTAAAAGCGCTTTCATAGGTCCAGCTATGCCAGCGCTTTTGAAAGCGCTTTCAAAGGCCATTCTTCCACAGCGCTTTTTAAAAAGCGCCTTCATAACCCTATTATTTCATTTTTATTAATATTTTTATTTGACCTACCACAGCGCTTTTTAAAAAGCGCTTTCGTATCCCCCACCTATGCCAGCGCTTTTAAAAAAGCGCCTTCATAACCCTATTATTTCATTTTTATTAATATTTTTATTTGACCTACCACAGCGCTTTTTAAAAAGCGCTTTCGTATCCCCCACCTATGCCAGCGCTTTTAAAAAAGCGCCTTCATAACCCTATTATTTCATTTTTATTAATATTTTTATTTGACCTACCACAGCGCTTTTTAAAAAGCGCTTTCGTATCCCCCACCTATGCCAGCGCTTTTAAAAAAGCGCCTTCGTAGGTTTCCCTTTTTTTTAATTTTGTTTTTTGTGAAGGCTATGGCAGCGCTTTTTCAATAAGCGCTTTAGTAGAGGCGCTGCAAAAAGCAGTTTTTGGCGTAGTGGAGATGCTGATTCAAGGTTTAGTATTCAACTACGACCACGACGATCAAGGTATTCGCCAGAGATTCATCCGAGCATGGAGGATGCTAAACAAGGTGGATAGCAAGACTTTGGGACACAATAATTCCATCCCTCTCGAGCCTTACCTCAAGTGGGTACGAACCCACGCTCAAAGTCTTCTGATGCCTTATCCTTCCATTCTCCCAGTGATCATTGAGCCTGTTAAGGAAGGAGAAGTTCCATACACTATCCTACATCCTGACATGCCCACATCTCTTGAAGACCTACAAAGGGATTGGATACAACTCAAAGGAGAGTTAGATACTTTCGAAGCCCAATTCTACGCAAGCAAGAAGAAGGTTTTGGAACTCACTAGGCTACTTCATGAGGAGCATACTCTAAATTCCTACATAGCGCCAAAGAGGATGCACACTACTTTTTTTATCTTAGAGTGTTATATTATTTTGCCAAGGGGCATTGATGTACTCAAACTCTATCTTATTAATATAACGTATGTTTCTTTTTGTCTAAAACGAACTTGAATCTTTAAAAATCCTTGAAAACATTACATATGCACATATCATTCATCATAACATAAACAGGTCTTTTGCAACGAGTTACCTCATCTCTCTATTGTTTATTTCAGTAAGATGGATCTCGAACAGACAGTCAAAGATCTTCAAGTTCAAAACACGCAGTTTCAACAGTTACTCGTGACCCTAGCCAAGGGGCAAGAAGAGTTAAAGACTCTGTTAGCTAAAGAAAGAAAGAAGAAAACAAAGAAGGTCACTGGGGTTTTGAACATGGGGAGAAGGTTTCAGGGACAGACTAGAAGAACCTTGAATTTTTTGACCACTTCCGGGGAAGGAGAAGGGAAAGGAAAAGAAACAGCGGTTCCGTCAGAATCTGAAGAGGAGGAAGAAGAGGAAGACTACTCCGAGGAACAATATCCTCCAGCAGATGATAAGTACAGACATCTTGAAGAGCGTTTGAGCGCTATGGAAACACAAAAGGTTCTAGGTCTAGACTTTGAAGAATTGGGACTAGTGTCGGGAATTGTGATCCCACCAAAGTTCAAAGTGCTGTTGTTTGCAAAATATGATGGGGTGTCATGTCCTAAGATGCACCTCCGATCATATGTGAGAAAGATCCAGCTGCACTCCGCCGATAAAGACCTGTGGGTGCATTTTTTCCAAGATAGCCTATCTAGAACACAACTCGATTGATTTTACCAATTGGAAAGGGCCGACGTCCACAACTGGGAAGATCTTGCCGCAGCTTTCTATAAGCAATACCAATATAATGCAGATTTGGCGCCTACCCGTACTCAACTTTCGTGTATGGCCATGGCTTCCAATGAGGGTTTCAAGGATTACACACAGAAATGGAGAGATCTAGCTGGGAGAGTGCAACCCCCTCTGTCTGAAAGGGAATTGGTGGACATGTTCTTAGGCACTCTATCGGGCCCTTTCTTCAACCATATGATTGGAAGCTCATTTGCAGGATTTACTGAGTTAATACTAACCAGAGAGAGGGTGGAAGATGGCATAAAAAGTGGAAAGATTAAGAAGGATTCATCTGCCTCTACAGCTGTGAGAAAGCCTTTCACTGGGAAGAAGAAGGTATCTGCTATTTATCCATAAAGGAACCAAGGCAGAGTTGAACGCCGACCAATGGTAGGAGTTGTTATGATCCCAAAGCCTACATCTGATCAACCAAGAAGTAATCAACCGAGGGTGGAAAGGCCAGTCCGACAATTCACCAGAATCAATATGACTCTAGCCCAGGTTATACCGCACCTTCTGAAATCCAATTTGGCAACTTTAAAAGAAGCTCCAAAGAACCCCAACACATCATCCCCTCACTATCACCCAGATGCCAGATGCGCATATCATTCCGAAAGTCCGAGTCATGACACTAACAACTGTTGGGACTTGAAAAACAAGATTCAAGACCTTATAGAGGCAAAATAGATTGAGTTTGATGCGCCCGAGAAGCCAAACGTCATTTTTGCTCCTATGCCCAGGCATGGTCACAACACCAATGCAATTGAAGAAGATTTATTTGTTACCACAATTGATGAACTCTTGACTCCGCTCCCAATCATTAAGATAAACTTGTTGAAAGCCGGTATATTCCCGGGTTGTAATGAAGACTGCCATTTTTGCTTATCCTCGCCAACTGTTTGCCCTTTGTTGAAAACAGGCATTCAATGCTTGATAGACAATAAAGAGATTATGTTTGAAAGTACTCCTGTTTCACCTGTTCCTGTTGAAGACATTTCAATCATAACCATCTCCGCCAATTCTTCCAGGGTCCCCAAAAGACCCGTTAGGATTACATCGGTTCCAAAAACTACTCCTCTTATAATCACAACGCTTGGGCCATCCCGTATGAATCAGACAAAATTGTGTCGTGGAATTACGGTGGGGACATCTACTACCATGGCATCAAACAAGATGGGCTGGCAGCCGAAGGGATATGCTCCGAAGAAGAAGACTCTGACATTAGCAATATTGTTGGAACCAGTAAGATTACCCAAAGCGGTAGAATCTTCTCTCCAGAAATTGCCCCTCCAAAGGCAGTTTTTGGACCCGTGGCTGCTCCAAAGGTTACTTCCGTACCAATAATTATCCCTGCAAGTACTCCTATTGACGAAGACGACACAACCCCTGCTGTTATCCCTACCAACACTCCTACTGCTGAAACTCGAGGAAAAAGTATTCAAGAAGAGCCTATCCGGACGAAGGCTCAATCGCTAACTATCCCCGAAACCTCCAAGAAGGAAATAGAGGAGATCCTGAGAATAATAAAGAAGAGCGACTATGAAATAGTTGAATAGTTGGGGAAAACTCCCTCCAAAATCTCCATGCTAGCATTGTTGCTGTGTTCCGAGGCACATGTGAAAGCTATATTAAAGTTCCTAAAGACAACCCATGTGCCTCAAGAGACACCGGCTGACCAATTTCAAGATTGCATGGCCAGCTTGACGGCGGATAACGGCCTAGGCTTCTCGGATGTTGATCTGACACCAAAGGGAAGAAAGCACAACGAGGCATTGCATGTCTCTGTGGAATGTAGAGGAACAACTCTGGCCTATGTCTTGGTGGGCACTGGTTCATCTTTGAATATTTTACCAAAGAAAGCTCTCGACAGACTAGACTACGAAGGACTGACGTTGAAACCCAGTAACGTAGTTGTAAGAGCATTTGATGGATCAAAGAGGATGGTGCACGGGGAGGTAGATATCCCCATAAAGGTTGAGACTCAAACTTTCAACTCAACCTTCTATGTAATGGACATCCACCCCTCTTACTCCTGTCTTCTAGGACGACCGTGGATCCATAATGCCGGTGCTGTCACCTCTACACTGCACCAGATGCTGAAATATCCGGTCCAGGGAAATGTTATCGCTGTCCATGGAGAGGAAGAGTATATGATTAGCAGCCTCAATTCCTTCCGGTATGTGGAATTGGATGGCGAGTTCATTGAAACTCCTTTTCAACATTTCGAAGAGGTTCCCCAAGAGGTAGCAGTAACCAAGACTGTATCCCAGATTCCCAAGATTACAAGACCTCCGCTCCAAATGTCATCTCTGAAGGACGCCAAAGCAGTAGTAGAGGAGGGTGGATGCACCATCTGGGGGCAACTTCCGGATATTTCATATAAATCTGACAAGTTTGGCTTAAGGTTCACTTCAAGTGCTCAGAAGGCTG